ACTGTGGAACTTCAAAACATTTTCCAGTTTCAGAGAATTAATTAGCTCCCCTGTGGAGCAGCTCACGAGCAATGTTGCCATTTTGGAGATAGAATGATTGAATCGGAAAGGCAAGGGGTATTGAATTATTCATCTTTTCAATAAGCATGTATAAGCACCCACTCCTTGCATGGCTCGGCTGACAGTTATGGGGGCATAAACTGATTGGAATAAAGTCTCTGCTCTCAAGAAACTTTAGTCCACTATGATAAGTCTACTAGGAGAGGTGAACTTGTCAATCGCTAGCCTGAATAGGAGTCCACATAAGGCCAAGATAAGATGGGTAAACATGAGAAGCTAGAAAAAGCTGATAGAGCTGGGAAGAAACTTAAATGGCAGAAGCCCATGAAAAAAACATGATAGGGAATTTAGTCTTCTCTCTGTGGAACAATTGTTAAATATACCACACACACACACACACACACACACACACACACACACACACACAGAAATTATTGTGAATTTATACATGGCCAGTCCTCCAATTCCTTTATTTTTATTAAACAGTAAACCCATTTCTCTCATCTCCCCCAACCTCCACTCTGGCAACCACCAATATGTTCGTTGTATCTAAGAGTTTTTATTTTTTGTTGTTTTGTTTTGTTTTGTTTTTCAGACTCCACATAGAAGTAATATCTCACAGTATTTGTTTTTCTCTGTCTGGTTTCTTTCACTTAGCACAATGCCCTTGAGTTCCATCCATGTTATTACAAATGGCAGGATTTCCTTCTTTTTTATGGCTGAATAATATTCCATAGTGTTATTTTGTGTGCATGTGTGTATGTGTATTTTTCATTATCCATTCATCCATCAATAGGCACTTACGTTGTTTCTATGTCTTGGCTATTATAAATAATGCTTCAATGAACATGAGGGTACAGACATATTTTTGAGATAGTGATTTTTTTGTGTTTTTTATGGATAAATACTCAGAAGTGGAATTGCTGGATCCTATGATAGTTCTATTTTTAATTTTTTGAGGAATCTCCATATTGTTTCCCATGGCGGGTGCACTAATTCACATTCCAAATAATCTCAGTAAATGGAAGAAAAATTGATTCATTTACCCTAGTCATCCAAGTGATGAGTTAGACTCACTAGTTTACATTGCCCAGTGAGTTCTGGGTTAAAACTTGCAATAACGTATGAAGACTAGATTGTTTGTATAATGGGCACTGCTTACCTGCTTGGATTTTCATTACCCAGGCAACGTCTGATTCCTATCGGGGTTCTCTTTGTGAACCCAAATGCCATAAGGTGGGGAAATCTATGAGAAACTATGGAGAGATCAGAGACATGCACATGGGGAACTGAGGTCCCTGAGCCTTGGCTCCTGTTGAACACCAACAGCCAGCACACACTGCCAGGCACGTGAGTGAGCCATTTGGGAAGTGAATCCTCTAGTTGTGATTCCACCGGCCCGAAGCTGACACTGAGTGGGCCAGAAGTGAGCCTTCCTCCCTGAGCCCTGTCCAAATTCCAGATTCAGGCTAATAAAAGATTGCTGTTATTTTAAGCCAAGAAGTTCTGGGGTGGTTTGTTATGAAGAGTACTTAACTGGAACATGTTCCACAAAGGATTCATGATATTAACATCTTCTTGCCTTGATCCCATTTATTTAAGTCACTCCAAAACTATTTAGATTTCAGAAAATCAACTCAAGTGCTCAGAAAAAAAATGCATTTCTATTTCTCTAAAGAGTTTCAAATAGAGAATACAATGAAAATTTCAAGAGATTTCCTTTAGATGTAACATTACTGGAATATATCGATTTTAAAACAATGCTTACCCCTATTTCTAAATATAGTTAAACTGAAAACACCAGTAAGTAAGGTAACATTTGTGACATACATAATAGGTTTTACCAAAGCCCCACCTCTGGGCCAGAGGGGCTCCTGCTGTGATGTGAAGGTCATTGGATGCAATGACCCTTAAGTGGTAGGCTTCCTTCTTAATTCACTAATCAAGTTACAAATATAGCTTCTGATACTGCCTCTCTTCTTTTTTTATAGGTTGTCAAGACAAGTCAGGGGCAGCAACCAATCAGCTCCTCGTATTAAACAGCATATTTTGCTGAGCTGGATTTGACTCCTGGTTGCTACAAAACAAATCTAAGTTTATATCAGAGGTGACAAACTCCATGCCATGTCATTTATCCTTTTTATAGCATGGGTGACACCGATGGTCAGTAAGTCTTGTTGATGATGGTGTGAATCAACTAGAGCAGAAAGCATCCAAGTCTAGAGGTTTCCTCTGTCAATAGTTAGAAATCATTTGTTTTAATGAAAAGAAAACTAATTAAAAAAAGAATTCCTCTGCTATTGCTTACCCTATATATCTTAAAAGATACTTGTAATCCCTGTATTAACCGGGCTAACCACTATTAATACCGGAGTGTACATTACTCTAGACAGAAGTCCAAACATATGTAGATATTCACCTTGATACATTTAATGATTGCCAAGAGACAAACATATTGAGATTTTACCATGTAGTATGTGCTTACTTGTGAAATAACTGTTTCACAACTTTCATTTAAAACACAACGCAATGAGGTAAATAACATAAACCAATTACACCTCTGATGAATTGGAAGTTCAAGTCTAAGATCACATAGCTAGCAAGCAGAAATGTATAGCTCCAAACCTGCAACTGTTGACTACAGATGTTATTTTTTATTATTGTGTCTCTCATATTGTGCATCTGATTTTTTTTGCATCTAAAATTATAACTATAATTTATGATAATACTCACTTAACTCATTTATAGCCACAGTGTAACGTCTGATCAGTATTCGTTTATAGACATCCATTTTATAAAAACATTTCACTATTCCGGTCTTGTTAGAAATTTCAGTTCTTGTTTTGTTGGTTTTTTTTTCTAATTTTCCATTAGTGTAAACAACACTGCAATGCATAACCTTGTAGATAAATCTTGCTGTATATCTGTTATTTATTTGTAATGATAAATTTATAGAAGTACAATCTTAGGGACAATGACCTCCAAAAATGTTATACTTTCAAGAGTTACATCATATTTTCCTTCAGAAAAAAAGTTATACCAAATTACATACCTGCTATCCGTAAGTCCCAAGACTTCATTTAACAAACAAAAGTAAAGCAAAATAAACGAACAAACCTTAAACCACAAAAAAAACACAGCCTTTCCAATCACAGTTTCATCTTAGAAATAGAAGATATCTTACCAGTCATATTTTCTGATCTCCTACACATTATGGACCTTTTTTTCCCATAGAACAACCCCGATCTAGGGTGGTAGCCATCCTACAATGCATAGGAAGTGGGGGTAGAAAATAAAAGACAATTTTAAATATCCCTAAACTACACAGCACATTTTTTTTTAACTCTCAGCAATGAAATACTGTTCAAACTATTCTAAAATGCATCCACAATAAGAGAGCCTCACTGGGAATGAGGAGACCTTGGCAGGCTTTCAACATACTTGACACAGGTCATGGAATGATAAACATTTTTTGGTCATTCTCCACCTGGAATGGGTTTGCTTTAGGTGCTGGCAACTGAGTGCCTATCACTTGCTCAATGCAGTTGCCCAACAGCTTGGTTTCTCTTGCTTCTGGGAATTCAGCAAACAGAGGTAGGCTGGTCAGTGGGAAAAGAAAAGTGTCTAGAAACAAAAATGAATGAAATACTTTTTGCTAGGTCAGAGGAGCTGGGAGTAGAACTGTATGTGCCCTCTCCTGCCCCAAACTCTCAAAAATTCCATCACCCAAGTTCCTTTAATTCTAGATACGCAGGGATTTAGCAGCGTTTAAAGGAGAAAACGACCTTCAATGGACTAAGTTTTCCTCGAGTACCCGTTAGATATAAGACAAGGCTAGATGTTGCAGTGGAATCCTAAAAAAGAAAAAAAGAGGTAACACAAATGAATGACGCAATAAGAAATTATTTAAAAAAAACTACAGGTATGTGAATTCTGCAATTGATTGGCAAATTGACTGCAACAGCAAAGAGAAGGGGAAAGTAATTCTGCCTGGAGTGAGGGGTGAGGGCTGGGGTGGAAACAGGGCTGTAGAAGAAGGTGGTATCTGTAGATGCCCAGAAGGCTGGTTTTTCTGGCCCCAAATGCTTGTTTCTTTATTCATTTATTTATTTTGGTGCAGATCTGCTAAATAATTTGTTATTTAAATTATAAAACCAGTAATTTGCTTTCATCTTAGCAAACACACATGAACACATACACACACTTTCTTAAGGTCTATATATACTTTACACTCCGTTTTGGCTGTACATTCAAAGTCATCCCTGCAATGGGAAGGCAAATTGAATTCTAACACCATCTTCCGCTTTGGGAAACTAGACTAGTTGGGGGTGGAGATCAGGGCTTAGGACTCGTAGCCAAAACTTTATGCTTCAGGAACTGCATGGGGAATCATTCTGATATTCGAACATAGAGCCTTCGGGGAATAGCTCACTTTATTCCTTTTAGCCCCGAACAGACTACTACGTACAGTACTTGGCACCCAGTAGGCCATCATTTGCCATAATAGATTTTAGGCATCCGCCTTTTCCCCATGAGAGGACAATCAACGCATCACATTATGCTTCTTTGGCCAGTTTTATTCAGCTCTGATCTCAGTAGTTAAAAAAAACAGGAGAGAGAATGGGGCCGTAGCTTCCAGAGAGAGGAGCTCTGCACCGCCCGGGTGCGAGGAAAGAAGGCGAGGGAGGCGGAGGGAGCCCAGACTCCCACCTCGGCTCCTCTCCTCCGGCAGCAAACGCTCGGCCCCCGCCTTCTCTCCCCATTCCGGACCCTCCACCCGGGTGGCGAGAGGGCAGCGCGGGAGAGGCGGCGGCAGGGCTCCGACTGTCACGCTCGTTCCCTGCTGCTTTTCCAGTGCCCAGCCTCCTCGCCCCTCCTCCCTAATCCTCAGCCGGGGTTTGGAGGCGATTCCCCTCTAGTGACTGAGACGCTCGCATCTGGGCGAGCGGCGCTTCGCCTCGCTCGCGTCTTTGTCTCCTCCTCCTGCAAGGCTCCGGGGCCGGGCGCAGGGTCTGCAGCAGCCGCCGCAGCAGCCGGAGCCGAGCGGCGCTCCGCACGGCCGCCCGCGGCCGCACCCTCGCTCGGCGGAGGCGCCGGAGGACGCCGGCGAGCCACGCACGGCCAGCGTCCCGCGCTCCTGCGCCGCCGCCGCGGCGGGGATCGAGCCCTCCCGGCCGGCCCGGTCCGGGGTGGGCAGCCCGGCCAGCAGCGGGGTGGCAGGAGCCGGCGCCGCAGCTCTGGCAGCTCACACCCCCAGGCAGACGCATCCAACGCCTCCTCCCTGCGCCACCAGGATGGAGCAGCCACCCCGGCCCGGGACTGGCGCAAGGTAAGGTGCAGCCGCCTGTTGCTTTTCGCAAAGCGCGGTGTCCTCCCTCTACCCGGGTGCCTAGGCCTTACCTTCCGTAACTAGTAGACGGGAACTCTCACCCCAGATCAGAGCCACGTTCCAAGCCCCGGTCCCCTGGGCGCATACCCGGGGAGAGACCCCTCCTGGCGTGGGGAAGTCGACCCTCTGCTCGCTTGCAGCCGACTGCTGTGCAATAGTCTGCAAACTTTTGTGCCCCCCTCCCTGCGCGGTGCTCACCCCGTGCCGTGCAACTTGCACGTCTAGTCCTCGCGTGCGCCCTTCCCCCCGCCCTTCCCCACTACCACCCCTGACGTTTGCCTCTGCCCATTTCTTTTTCGGTGTTCTTGCTAGTCGACTTTTCACTCCCTGCAGCTCCCGCTAGAGAGTGGGACATGGGAGGCGGCTGCGGCCACCCTTGGGGCTCTGTCTAGCACGGCAGGAGTCGGTCCATGCTTGCGTATGCCACCCCGAACTCGGTAATGAAACCCTCGGAGTGGCTTGCGGCTGTGTGCCGCGGGAACGGCAAGTGCAGATCCGGGTGGGTGAAGTAAGTCGTCTGGGGAGGGAAGTGTTGCTGGAGGGGTTGGGGTGGGGGGGAAGCGAGGGTCTTGGGTGGATCTGGTTGACAAGATACCAAAGGGCTCTGCCTTTAAAGTGGGCGAGGGGCCAGTCCTAGCCGTCACCTGACGTGGAGGAAAAAGGATTTGAGTCCGGAGAGCTCTGGCCCCGGTGTGTAAATAGAGATGGGGGAGGGGCTGGGCACCTGGGGAGGTGCAGAGAGGCAGAATGGAGCCCTGGAATGCCAGAGCCCGGGGGGTGGCGGGGTGGGGGGACTTGGGAGGGCTTTTGGGTGCCTGGGATGGGGCGATCTTCCTCTCCAGGAGAAACAAACCTCCAGGCGAGATTCTGAATGCGTTGGCGTCTCAGGCGGCGACTGAGTGGTCAGATCAGGGACCAGGGATGCTTTTCCTGGCTCTAAGGGGACCAGAGCCCTCTCCTTTCTCCGGCGCCCGCTTATACACCCTTCCACCTCCGCAGCCGAGTCCGTAGACCCACGCCCACCTTCCCTGCCGGGCCCTCTGGAGTCAAGAAGGTCTGCAGAACTGCAGGGTGGGAAGGGGATTCCTGGTCCCCAGGAGAGGCGTGTGTGCAGGGTGGGGGTGGGGGGAGTCCCCAGCGCCTGGAAAGTAGACAGGGGTTCGAACCGGTGGGATGAGAGCGCAGGGGCGGAGGCTGCAGTGGGGGCCACCTTTCCCCCCGCCCTTCCGCACATCGCACCTGGGCGGAGCGAGGGAGTGGGGGAGCCCCACGCTGCGCCCGCAGGCTGGGGAGCCGAGAGCTGGAGGGCGTGCGGGGAAACGCAGGGTGAGGGGGTGTGGGCATCTGATGAGGGGAGACTTGGCTTCCAGGCCGGGGCCGCGGGCAGAGGTGGGTCTTTCCACGTTTGGGCCCCTAGGTGGGTCCTTCTGGTTGTTCCAGGCGCTTTAACGGATGCGGGAAGGCGAGGCTCTTTCCTCCTTTGCACCCCAGCAATCTGGAATGGAAGACCATTTGCGGGAGGGGGCCTAGACTGCTTGTTGCAAAGGAGGGGCGGCCCCCGGGCTCCGTTTATCCAGGTGGGCTACCAAAGGCCTGGAAGCACCTCGTTTAACCCTTCTCTCTCCGAGGAGGTGCACGCCCCTCTTCAAGCAGCGCCTTTGGCTCGGAGTCCAGTTCCGGGTTTCCCCTGGCCCATAGAAGAATTTGGAGGTTGCGTGGGGCCGGAGCCGTTTCCAACCCTCCGGGCCTCCTTGCTCAGGCCTCCCACGTGCAGGCTTTGGGGGGCACAACCGTGTCTGCGGTCGCCCGGTAGAAGTCTGCTGCTCTCTCGTAACCCGCTGGGAGAAAGCAGAGCTCAGCGCAGTCTCCTTTTCCGGGCCCCACGCCTTGGCCAGACCCTTCCGGAAGAGACGTCGACTTGCCAGGGCTCCGGGGGAGGAATCCTGAGGTCGGTCACTCTCAGCCTGGGGCACCCCCGGAGCAGCCAGCTCCAGTGTCCCCGCGGCCACCTTCAGAGCCCCGAGGAGCGGGAACGGGGATTCCCTCCGCGCAGACTCCCCGGTGCGGCTCCCAGCACAAAGGCCACACCCTCACAGGCCAGGCATCGCAGGGGACAGAGCGTTGGCTTCTGCCGAATTACCTGGACACCTGAGGTAGGATCCCAGAATCAAGTCCCTCACCCCGCGAGAATTTTACCCCCAGAGCCAGTTTCCTTCCAGAGGCTTATCACCTGGCTTTGTGCTCAGGCCACTCCCCTCTGCGTGGAGAAACAGGTTGGAACAGGTCCCTGGGGAACTCTTGAAGGAAGACTTCAATTCCACACCAAAGTGTCCCCGTCCGGCCCGGCCCGACCCCTCCCCGCTTGCTGAGATAGCCTGGGGAGACAGGTAGTAGTAATAATAATCAGCGCCAAGGTTTACTGAGCTCTTACTCTGTGCCAGGCACTATTCTTGAGATTTTGCCCGAACTGTTTTAATTTTACTCCTCACAACAACCATGGAGAACAAAGTTATTTTTCCCTCATTTTATGGGCGAGGAAACTAAACCATGGAGAACTTAAGTTATTTGTTTATTGTCATTCAGCCAGTAAAGTGGTGGAGTTGGTTAATCTTATAGGTAGAGAACCTTGGGTGTATCCTAAGCTCCCAGCCCTATTCGGTACTGAAGACCTTTTGTCCACTACAAAAAGTATGGGTGAGGGCTCCCAGCCCTTTACTCCAAACCCTGGAGGCATACTAGGTAAGTGCCAGTCCTTGCCCCTAGCACTTGGGATACTGATGGGGAATCTCACCCCTCTCAGAGTCTCCTGGGGTGCATCTTTGTAGAATGGGATCCTGGTGCTGGAAGCAAATTTAGGAAACTGGATGCTGGCAATGAACTTCTTTTCGGAAGCTTTTGGTAGACATACCCTTTTAAAATATGAGGAGAAGTGGAAAGGAGGGAATCCGAATTTGAGCAGAGATCTCTAGTTACAGACTGTTGAAACTGCATTTTGCACATGAGTCCCGTTCTAGTGATGGAGTCACAGAATATTAGAGCGAAAGGGATCTCAGCTATCACTGTCCCCAATCCAGAAGCAGGGAGGAGATTCGGTGATGTGTTCAAGGCTGCTCTGTGCGTTCCTAAGACAGCCAGTAGTTTCTGACTCTTGGTCAAAATAAACTACGTTGATGTATAAATAGATTATGTCCACTGCATCTTAAAATTAATTAGGGAAAAACTTATTAACCAGAAAAAAATATCATATAACGGATACACCATCACAAATGTGTCTCATTTGCGAAAAACTTACAACCAAATACTTAGAAACCTTCAAATCAACAACATTTAACTAACCAGGCAAACCTTTGGATGACGTTAATTAAAATTGAATGGATCTTCAATCATTTTAACAGTCTTTTTGTCAAGAGGAGTAGCCCTGTCTGGCCTCACTCCCAAGTATTTGGAAAAAGAGGAGAAGACCTAGTAGATCAGAGGGGAAAATTCTTCTGAATACAATGAAGTGGGTATGATTTCTTACCCTTGGGCCACACTTTAGGGTGATGCAAATCTGAGGCAAAACAATGTCTTTTTAGTAGATATAGTGGATATAGAGAGGCTCGGAAAGGGGAAACGTAGTTCTTTGCCACTTTCTCACCCATGGAGACCTTATAACAAAGGGACCTTCTTCAGCAGCCTAGCGATTCCATACAGCCCTAGTCATTCTTTAGGACAGAGTTTTGGTTTCTAAGAACATCCCATGTCTTTTCTCTGTAGCTAGGGTATATCAGGATGTCCTGCCCCCTGGAGACGAATCAAGAAAAACTCAACTGGAGTAAACAGAGAGGGGGATTGGGAAGAGCCTGTTTTCTTAGAGTCACATGCGGGGTGAGAATATAGGCAGACAGATGGTGGAAACTTGGTGCCTTTATGTCACCTACAATAGGGTTTCCATTCCTGATGTTGTGACAAGCCAGGACAGAAGCCCTCAGGCAGTGACTGGGGGTGGAGAAGGAGAAGGTGAAGGTGGGGGTCAGTGCTGTCAAGAACCTGGAGTGGGGGTGGATGGAAGCTTGGCGGATAAAGGGATTTGGGGTGACAGGAATGGCCATAGAGAGCCTCCACGGAGATACAGTTTTTCCCCCTTCCCCACCTACCCACCACCTCAGTTTGCCATCTATGTAGGGTTGACCGATCTGAATCCCAGAGTCCCCAGTTATCTCTCAAGGGAAGCATTCACTTTTTTGAGAATTTATGGGAAATGAATATTGTTTTATGCAAGTAAGAAAAAAATATGCATAGCTACTCTCATCTTCAGGGCGTACCGTGAAAATTCAAACGATCCCAAGAGGAGTAGCCTTCTGAAGGTGCAGATGCCGGTTTTGTGAGATTAGAGCAGTGTTGGAGGAAAAAAGATGTACCATAGAAATTAGGTAGGACAAAATCCAAAAGTAATGGTCTCTCTTTTAGGAACCACAGGAAGAAGAATCCTTTTTGATCTGGGCCAACATCCTGGTTCCCAGTTCGTAGCTTTTCAGGGATGACAGGAGACTTAGCTGGAGCCTCATCCTGTTTATGTGGTTGGCATCCTCTCTACCTCTTTTTCTGTGGCTCCTATCTGGTGTAGTGTTAAAGGGCCCACACAAGCGCTTCTGCGGGGACAATTCTTTTCGTGTGACTCTACCTTAAATCATATAAACTGATATCTGTTTGTTGGCAGAATAGCAATTACTATTAAACAACATGTTCTGGGGAAAAGATCGTGAAAAAAAACCAATGAAGACTTTTCATTCGGAACACAATGAATGAAAGCATTTATGCTATACATAGCATGAATTAAAATTCTCAGTTTGGGTTAGATATTTGAAAATGAAAACATAATCAGGGACTGGAACATCTGAGCTTGACCTACTTTTAGTAACAAGAGAAGCCACATAATAAGTTTCTGTGGAGTTTGAAGA